TTATATTTGTTGAACCCTCTTTTTATGCTGAGAACAAATTAATATTTTATGGAACCACTATTATCTAAATAGAAACAATTAAAGATTAGGTGATCACAACCGTTAATTACTTATGCTAATAGAAAATAATCAAGAAAGAAAGAAAGAAAACAAAATCCATAAAGAATCAGGGCTACCGACATGCTATTATGTATAAAGCTAAAAGTTGTGGACAAAATATTTTGCCCCACGCTCAGTAGCATCGTAGATTATAATAATAATAATAATAATAATAATGTGTGTTTATATATATTATTTTTTATTTTTTTTCCCTTTGATGATTGATTTTTTTTTAATTTAGTTATTATATGATGTATTTATAGGTACTAGAAAAATATTTTAACATTGTAATATGGTTTATTTTTTAAAAAACTTTAGTTAAATAAAAAATAATTTTAAAAAAATTAAGATAATAAACTTTGTGGAGCTAGTGATCTGGTTTATGAGTTTGATAAGTTTAGTAGTGGTTTTTTTTTTATTAATTGAACTTGATTATGTGATTGTATATTTTTTTATTATATAGTTAATTTTTTTTAAAAAAAAAACATGTTATTAAATTTTAAAAAGTTCATGAGCCTGTTGATGGGTTTAACGAGTTTATTTTTTTAATATGTTTTTTTTTATCCTTTAATATTGGACTGATTGAGAATTAAGTTTTATAATTTATTTTGTTTTATTTTTTATGAGGTTATCATAATCTTGAAAAAAAATCTTAGTATTGATTTGACACTCGATTTTATAATTATACATTTTTATTATCATATAGTTAAATAAAAAATAGTTTAGAAAAAAAAAACAAGTTATTAATCCTGATAGAGTCCATTATCCAATTTGTGAGTTTGACATATTAACCAGAGTTACTTGATTTACAGGTTTAGCTAGTTTACCTCTAAAACTTCATATGCTTGTTTTTTAGTTTATGATCCTTTAATTTTTATAATTATTTTTTTTTTATTTTTTGTGGATTGGTTGGAAAATAAAATTCATGGTTACTTTCTACAAGGTTATTATGATTTCAAATAAGTATCTTTTTTAGAATTGATGCTTGATATCTTTTTAAAAATTAATGCTCGACTTTACAAGTATCTAATTTTATCATAAAAATAAAAAAAATTTACAGAAACAATAAAATTATTAAATTCATTAAAGTTTATAACCCAGGTCACAAGGTGATTGAGGTCAATCTAATTTGATATTTTTTTAAATTATCATCTTAATTTTTTTTTAAGAATTATATTATGTTTTTATTTATCATATAAGTTATTTTTAAATTTATTAAATTAAATAATTTATTTTAAATTAATTTTTATATAATTTAATTCAAAATTTAGATAAAAAATGAAATGAGGCAGTCTTCAGACTGCTTGATTAGATTTAAATTGAATTTGCTACACTTCAAATAAGGCGCACGACTATAACAATTGATGCACAGCACCATGCCTCTTTCTTTTTAAACATGAAAGAGTAAGTTATATCCTCTCTCTTTTTCATTGGTTTCAAAATAATTATAATTTAGTTCTTGGGGTTTGAAAACTTGTACTTTAGTCCCCTGATTCTTCTTGGATATGTTTTATTAAAATTTCCTGGTTTTTCTCACTTTTACTACCAGGTACATGATTTGGAAAAGGGTTTCGGTAGTGCTTCGAAGGGAAGATTTACAATAGTTATACCCATCATGTGTGTCTCATTTTTGTTTAATGGCTTCCCGTTGTTAATTGCAATGAACAATTTTAAATGGAAATTTCAATAGTCTGCCACGAAACTATATTTGATAATTGCTTGTTCATAAAATAGTTCAAAGTAACTTCAGCTGTCAAAATCAAACCCTTTTTAACGTGTTGTCGTACGAGGTGGAAAAATAATAGATTACTTTAGACAATAATCCACTCCCCCCCTATTGTTGATCGTAAGTTTCATAAAATAATCACCAAAACTGATGGAAAACAAAGATGTGATGATGGTTAGATGTTGTCTAATTTGTCTCTGCTAGGCAATTGTGGCATGTGACTCTGATCACTGCTCTCTTAACTCCTCGGATACCTTGAACATGCCGCATATGTTAATCTTGCCACTTTGATCGATTAGGGACATGAAGACAACAGAGATTCCTGTTAGAGGCAATCAAAGCTAAGACACAAAATGATGAGCCTCGCCATGATGTGTTGAGGGAACTTTCACAACTACCAGAAACAGGATGTCCAGCTCAGGTTGATGCGAAAGTAATCTGCAGAACACCATCTTGGTTCTTATATCATGATCCTGATTTCACATCTACTAAATGCGAACCCCCAATTTGTATATTTGCTTGCAATCCATAGTTAGGAAGATTGGGGTTGTTAGGCTCAGGAATTCCTGGACTAGTCATTATAGAAGCATATGAAAGAATCTGCTGTCAGTGAACTATCGAACACAAGATTCAAGCACCACAGCCACCATTGTGAACAAGCAAGAATGCTTCATCAGGAACTTCATTTGGATATCAGATGCAGAGTGCAAGCCAATATCTAATAGGAGAACGCTACTAAAAAATGAGAACGGAATCAGCCAATGTATCAACTACCTCATCCGAAGGAATACTATAGGTTGCAGGATTTTTTTTTTAAAATTAATAGATAAATAAAATGCCGATTCTTAGGACGAATTAACTCGGATGAAGGAGCCAATTTATCAGATGACAGCAAAAACACTAGCTGTGGGTGTTCAAATAATTGCTACAAATGACTCAACGAGGAGGTGTTACAAGATGAGGTGCTTCATACTTAATGCGAATCGACAAACGAAGGCTGTCAGATATTCGCACAAAAACCAGCTTAAAGATCCATCCATAGTTAATGTGATATATCATGCTTCTTTAGAAAGGCTAGAGCATGCTTAATTTGTGATTAGGCACTGGTTTTGCACCAAGCATAACACAGGACAGTAGGATCTTCGTTCCAGATGCAACAGGTACTGACATGCCTTAAGCCCAGGTGAGCATAATTGACGGTGAATGCTTGCACATTGTAATCCAAAATGTGCAGGAAATGCAGCACAGGGCTAGACATGCACAGTGCACCGACACGCGTCCTTTTATGCCTGCGTGTTTTGCGAGAGAGAGACCCGAGGACAGCGGCCAACGTTAAGGGGGGGCGATGAAATCCTCTACAAAGTTGAAATTTATAAAGCCTCTTCCAAGTTCATAGGGTTCCCATGGATCCTTGCCATCCAATTATCAGAACAGGACCTGTGATCAAGATGGTGGAAAAGTTGGCTTCTAGACATGATTTTTAGACATTTATGAGAGTTAATTAAAAGCGAAATACATTCATTTTTTATTAGAATTTTGTTGGAAAATGTTTTCCACAATGAATACTATGACATGAGATATTAAAATATATAAAATAAGTTGCATATAAATAGAAAATTAATCTCATATAATTCTGAACAAAATTGGTAATATACCAAAATTCAACATTGAAAAAATAAAAAAAAATTCTTCTCTTCTAATGGCTATATATGTGTATGTAGCCTTTGTTACGTAAGGCTTAAAATTATAGCCTAAATTTAAGTTTAATTCGGTCCAAATTCAATTTAAATTAATTTAGATATATAAGAAAAAGTTACAAGAAAAATACTTTTTTTTTTCTAAATTTTAAAGTCATCATGATCCTTTCTTTATCAAATCAAGAGTTTCAGTTTATAATCTTGAAGTTTTGAGTTTAAAAAATGTAAAAATATCAAGTAAGTAATTTTCTTTTATGTTATTTTTTATTATGATTTTTTTATGGAAGGATTCAAAAAAAGATTAGGGTTTATAAAGATTTAAAATTTATATTGTTAAAATTAATTTATAATTATTAAGAATTTAATATTAAGTGATTAATTTTAAATATGTTGTTAGAAATAAAAATTTGTGAGATGATTTGATTAAATTGATTTTTACAGGTTAACAAATTCATTTCAAGCTTGCTATAAAATCTAAACATAATGATTTTATATATAAATAGAAAATTAATCTCAAATAATTCTTAGCTGTAGCCTTTGTTACATATTAGAAAAGGAGAAACTCTTAATTATAGAATCTTAATTTATATATATATATATATATATATATTGTGGTTTTTTCCTCCAGGGTGTATGCTTATTGAATTCCAAGAGGCAATTTGCTTGCACCAATCAGCGGACAAGATCTGTCTTAAGGAAAAAGGGTACAGCTCTTGCAACCATCATTGTTTTCTGCTGAAACGTATAATCTACAATTCAACAAGGAAATATGGTTTAATTTGAAGCCTTTAATATTTTTTGTTGGCATGCTAGTTTAATTTTCATATATTGCTTTCTATACCGTTTGTAATTTGTTCTATAATTTAGATTTAATTATTAATAATCTTTAATTAAATAAATCTAATTTTATTCATCTTAGAGAAAATAGATTAAACTTTCTGTAATTATTAAATCTAACACTTAATGAAAGAAACCAAACCCTAAAATCTCAAAAAAAAAAAAAAAACATCTAAAGTTGAATGAGGGTGTCCATCATGCATCCAACTCAATAACGTTGTGGACTCACTGTGCTCCTCTTACATGTATATCGTGGGCTGGCTGTAACTTCCATGTTTAGGCTTGGTTTTTGGGTGTTCCGGCCATTTCATTATTTTGCCCTGCAATTTTCGATGCATGCCTAGGGGTTCATTGGACTTGGCTTGCCTTGTTTGCTCTCCATTTGTTTTCTTTTTTTCTTTTTGCTGTGTCATTTGGGGTTTTGTTAAGTTATTTCTATGCCCTTCCAAGTGTTAGCTGGTCTATTTTAGAGTTTGTTCAGTAGAAACATTAAAATTTTGATTGTATTTTCTGATTCATCTTCAACCCGACTCGAATCAGTTTCCAGATCATTGGTCTACCATGTCAAACCGGGCCACGTTTAACAAGAATGCCCGTGGCTTCTACAACCTAAATTTTGATTCCGGCTGTATTTTGTGCAAGCCTCGAACACAATAAAGGAAGACGAGAAATGTAACATTCAGTGTCTGTAGAAAATACCTTACAAGGACTTGATGCCCAAACCCAAACCCCAATCTCAAGAAAACTCTACACTGAGCTAAAGTTTATTCAGCTGTCAAGTTTATTCTACAGCAGCACATGTGAGAGCCATAGTTCTGCCCAGACATGGAAAATCATGCAACCAGGCCATATTTTCAACAGAATTCAGAGAAAAGCATGATTATAGTCATGGTAGTGGAAGTTCTTGAAGATGAAGCTAGCCAACCATCTTGAACTAACAAAGCATACTACTGCCATTACTACCATTGTATTGGCATTCTGCCTGGTTGCCGCAGCAACCCCGATGAAAGCAAGTGAAGCAACCTGCAGAATCACCTCTAGTGCATTCAGACCCTTGTATGCAGCATTGCAACTGCGACAGTTTACCACATGGGACCAGTACCTGAAAAACCAGTTCCAAATTTAGTAGACAATCAAGAAAGTTGCTCGAGGATCCTTTTCTGTGGTTGCAAGTAACAGTCATTACCTGTCGAACAGCTGTTCTCTTGGTGAAGTTGGAGGAAGAGCCCCACAGTACTTTCCCTTCCAATCAACTTGACCTCCAGAATACTTGTTAAACCATCTTCTGTAACTAACCAGAAGGGCATCAGACTTTGTTGGCACAAAACAAGCCTTTTGCCAGTTTGCCGGGCCAACATCCATGAACTTGCGCTCCTGCGAACGGAATTTTTGACCCAGTTAATATATACTACCAAATTAAGTGCAGGGTACGATTCAAGCCAGGATATATGGCAAAAGATAATTATGTTATCATAAACAGAAAAACCACCTGCATGTGAAGAAGATACAGATCTGAATCAAAAACCAGGTTAAATTTCAGATGAAAAATCCATCGTGGGACAACTTTATCTATCCAAAGTCCAAAGTTTCTCGGAAAGATCCATATCAATCTGCTTCTTCCTGGACTAACTGGTATGCAAATAAAAACATAGGCCATTCTCTTTTGCATCGAGCCCTGCTTATCCAAGAAATTTGCATGTCAAAGAAGATGCTGAGAGAAGTAAAATCAGTAATAAATGCTTACCTTTTCTGGTGCGTCACCAGGACTGCTAGAAGCATAAGAGATATAGGGTGCAATAAATTTCGTATCACCGAAGTGATCTTGATTTTCAAGGAAACCTTTACTATCTATTTTCTTGACACTCAAATCAATTGGACCGCCTCCTTCTCTATCAGACTTCACTGCAGATAAATTCTGGCTCATAATTATATAAACTTCATCATGACAAAAAAAAAATCAAAGAATGGAACATAATGCATTAGAATACCTTGTGGTTTTAGTGCATTTAGTAGTCCATAATGAGCATAGGGAAGATGTGCAGGATCCAACAGATTTTCAATCAAGACATCATATCTGAAAATGTAAACATTAATTCAGGCAACAAATAATTCTGTAAATGCAGCCAAGATTAATAGAAATAAAATGTAGATATGAGGGCAAATGACAACTTTGCTTACCCATAAGGAAAATCTCTATTTCCTATAGTCTTGGTAAATGATGGATCATCCAATTCTGGGATGAAAGGAGGCTGTTTCTTGGTAATGATGTCTCTGTATTGCGGATCGGTGTTAGGCCAAAACCATACAATGTCATGATGCACTGTGCTTGGATAAACTGCAACACATGCTTTCTTGGATGTGTGGACCTGCGATATGATTTGATGGAAATGTTAATCAAACTCCCATTTAAGCCTACGTTCAATATATTCTAACACTATGGACTAGTTACCGGAGGACCATCTGGTGGTGCTTGAGGGATGAACTTGCAGTTACCAGAGCCATTGAAGCACCAACCATGGTAAACACACTGCAACCGTCCCCATTGGTCAATCCTTCCTTCAGACAATGGTGCCAACCTGTGAGGACAAGAATCATCAAAGACCCTCCATTCACTCTCATTCCTATCCCACCACACCACCAAATCAAGTCCCATCACCGTCTTTGCATGTGGCACCCTCTTGTCCAAGTCACAGACTGGCATTACTGGATACCACTGTGCATACCAGTCAAACTTCTCTTCTTGAGAGACAGCTTCAAGTTCTGCCTCAGGTTGTTCCATGGACTCTGTTAAAACAGAGGATGGTACTGTTGATGACATGGTTGAGAAAAGCTTGGATTTTGATGGTGTTTTCTTGAGCATTCTTGAGATAAATGAATTGGGTCTTGGATGAAACTGAAAACTCAACAACTTCGGTTTGGTGAAATGGGCTTCGCGTACTGAAATTGGGGCGTGAATTGATGTAAGAGAGGATTTTACTGCAACTTTCATGGCTGCTTCTTTTAGAGCTCAAGCAAGAGAACGTAAAGAGCAGGGTGTTCAGAGGTGCAAGTATTTAAAGGGAACTCACTGTGCAAGTTAGACTTAGTTATTCAATTTGATATTTAGATTTGTTGTCATATCATGACAGTCTAGAGTTGTAATCTCTTTATAAATATAAGAATTAATATACTTGGGTGGTTATGTTATTATGTATTATTTGGATGGGTTTAATTCAAGTTATAAGAGAAGTTACTAAATGAAATAATTATTTTTTTAATTATATATAAAGGGATATAACCTATATGAAATTAAAAAAAATTATTATTAAAAAAACATAATTTTTCTTTCTTTCTTTTTTCATTTTGATTATTTACATTAACTTGACAAGATTTATAAAAACAATCGCATTATAAAACATCACTTTGATTCTAGTAATTAAAGTGACACTGAAGTAATTGATCAAAGAATAAGAAAACAAATTCTCACAAGTAAATTTTCATTTACGATCTACATTGGTATCAGAGTCATAGGAAGTTTTCAATTCTGATCTACATTGGTATCAGAGTCATATTTTTTAATATTAGTTTGATGAAATATATCTATCATTACATGAACGATAAATATAAATTTTGTGTTAAAAGAATATTTCCATTGAGATTTTTGAATTTATAAAATTTTATGAAGTAATTTAGTTATGAATTTATCTTTTTTATATAATTAATTAGAAAAAATTTCTACATGGTAGTTATATAATTCTATTATCAATTCATTTATGAATTGATGATAAAAATCGAGATTAAAAACTATTATTTTCATTTTTAATTGACAGTAATCAATTGGACTTTGACAATTAATTAACTATTATTTAAAAAAAAAACATTTAAAAAAACACATCTTTTCAAAGATGTGTAATTGCAATTCGGCAGTTAATATTCTCATTGGCATTCGGTTGTCAATTGGGATTGCTATTTGGCAATAAATTAACTGTCATTTGACAGTTATTATTAAAAAAATCCAAATGAACATATCTTTTAAAAGATGTGTACATATATTAACTACCGACATGTAATATATATTAACATTGTTAATATATATATTAAAATATAAAATAATATCTTGTAGTTATGTCTAACATGATTAGTGAATTAAAGGGTGTTAGGCACGAGATGATTGATAAACAACAAGTCCAAGCAGTTATTAGGCATTAGATGACTGATAAACAACAAGTCCAAGCAATTATTTGCTCTTTGCCAAGTAATTAGAAACAGGTGTGCGCTAACCTTACCTACAATGACAACATTAAGACATTTGACGATGTTGCTCATCATGTTGAACTTGAAGAAGATTGACTTCACGTTGAAAAGCCTATAAATGAGGCTTTTATATCTAAGAAAAAGATGTGTGGAACATATGGCTCCATATATAAAAAGGGTGAGGCTAAAGGTCCTAAATATGGCAAGAGAGGAATAGAAGCAAGTAGTAGTGAATATAAGTGCAAGCATGGAAAACGCGATGGTAAGAAAGGTAAGAATATGAATTGTTTCAATTGTGGTAAACCTGATCACTTTGCTTATGATTGCACTGAGCCAAAGGTAATGTTTAACCATGACAATCCCTCTAACTTATACATTATCAATTGTTTAATGCCTGCTGAATCTGTTCCCTTTTGGATTGTAGACTTAAGAGCAACTGACCATATAGTAAGGGATATAAATGGTCTTTATGGAATTTTATCGAATTCCAAAGGGAAGTAGATACATATACATGAGGAATAATGCTTCCGCTGCTAAGCTTGGGATAGGTACCTGCAAACTAGATTTGCGTGGCGGTCACACACTTTATCTTTATGATATAATTTATGCTCTAGAAGTTTAATGAAATCTTGTATATGTTCTTGCTTTACTCCAATTAGGCTTTGCTATTGTGTTTGTTGGTTGTTGTGTAAAAATACATCTGAATAATATTTTTTATAGTTCTAGTTTTGTATTAAATGGTTTTATGGTGTTAGACACCGTTAATATATCTATTAATTATTATGCTTTAATTTATATTATTCAAAAGTCCAGCATTATTAATGATAGTAATATCATAACTTGGCATGCTAGATTAGGACACATTGGGCAAGATCGATTTTATAGATTAACAAGAGCTGGTCTTTTAGGATTACTAACCAAAGAGAAATTGCTCATTTATGAGCATTGTCTTGTTAGAAAAGCAACTAGATTATCATTTGGCAAAGCTAAAAGAGCTAATAGTCTATTGTAGCTTATTCATTTAGATATTTATGATCTAATGAATGTGAGAGTAAGACATAGAGAAAATTATTTCATCATATTTATAGATGATTTTACATAGTTTAGTCATGTTTATTTGATCTTACATAAGTCTAAAGTATTGGATTACTTCACTCGATACAACAATTTGGTAGAGAATAAACTAAGTATCAAGATCAATGTTTCAAGAATTAATCAAAGACATGAATATTTGTCTGAACAATTTAAAAAAATTTGTGATGAAAAGGTTATAGTTAGATAGCTAACTATTCCTTATACTCCATAATAAAATGTTGTAGCAAAAAAGAGGAATAGAACCCTATTTGACATGGTTAAGTTGATGATGGCATAAGCTAACTTGCCAATTTTGTTTTAAAGAGATACATTGTTAATTTCCGCTTACATACTTAATCGTGTGCCCTTTAAATCTGTCTCATCCACCTCATATAAACTATGGAAAGACGTCAAACCTAATCTAAGTTATTTCCATCCATGGAAATGTGCAGCTTATATTCACAATACTTTTCATGAATATGGGAAACTTCGTCCTAGGGGAAATAAGTGTATCTTTATATAATATTTAGAACATTCCAAATGATTTGTATTTACTAGTGAAAAGGCTAATGAAAGAGTGACATAGATTGAATCACGTGAAGTTGTATTCTTAAAAAAGGTTTTTCCAAAGACAAGTGAGGTTGAAAAAGATTTTTAGTTATATAAAATGAAAAATCTAGATTATAGCATAATAAACCATTTAGTAGAGGACCTAAATGAAACTTTTAATCCTTCTAGAAATAGTGAGAGTGATATTTTATTATTCCTACTCTCATGTACCTAGATCATAAGCAATCTCAACCTTGAAGAAGCATTCGTGAACCAATTCCTCTTCGTTGATTTGAGATTGAGGGGGAAACATTCATGATTGCTCCATAAGATAATGAAGAGCCTAGAACATTCAGTCATACTCTATCTGGTCCTAAAGCACGAGAATGGATTAAAGCTATGGAAGAAGAAATGGAGTTCATGAAAATTAATCAGGTCTGGGACGTGGTTGATTTACCATCAATATGAAAATCCATTGGAAATAAATGAATTCTTAAAATTAAACATAAGATGGATGGATCAATAGAACATTATAAGACTCAATCGAGGAATTCCCCAACCTTAGATCTCATAAGCTAAAAGCCTAATAGTGAAAATCCTTGGACCAATGGTTCTATTCTTCTTGGTGGTTGTTCACGGGGCTTTCCCCTTGTTTAATTGAAAGGTTGTGCTCGATTAACTTATCAATTTCCTTCTTAAATGAATGGGTTTGGCTAGTAGTGAAAGGCTACACTCAAGAAGATAGAATTGATTATGAAGATACAATCTCACCAGTTGTGAGGATTACTTCAGTTCGCTTTATTTTAGCTATAGTCGCACATATGAACTTAGAGTTATACCAAAAGAATGTTAGAACTGTATTTCTCAATAAAGAACTAAATAAGGAGATCTATATGGATCAGCCTTTAGGATTCGAGACTAAAGGACACGAACGTAAAGTTTACAAGCTTAAAAGATCCATATATGGTCTTAAGTAAGACTCTTGACAATGGAACGTTAACTTTCATTAAGCTATCCTTAAGGATGGTTTTACAATGATGGAAGAAGATCATTGTGTGTATTTAAAATGTTCTAACAATGGTTTTATAATATTGTCCTTATATGTTGACAACATTTTAATAGCTGAAAATATGAAAAAGATGATTGATACTACTAAAAAGTGGTTATCATCAAACTTTGAAATGAAAGATATAGGTGAGGTCAGCTATATTCTTTGTGTGAAAATCATAAGAGATCATGTTAAAAGGTTGTTTGGTTTAACCCAAGAGACTTACATCAAAATGATGTTAGAGCGTTATCACCAAGATAACAAACCAATAGACATCCCTATTGATAAAAGTTTGAGCCTAAGTTGTGATATGTGTCCCAAGACTCTAAAAGAAAAGGAGAAAATGTCCATAGTACCTTATGCTAATATTATCAGTAGTTTGATGTATGCAATTATGTGCACATGTCTGGATATATGTTATATTGTTGGATTGGTTAGACGATATCAATCAAATCCTAGTCAGAAATATTGGATGACAGTAAAAAAGATTCTACAATATATGAAAGGAATTTTAAATTACATGCTATGTCACCAAGAAAAGAAAAATTTATGATTGATTGGTCTTTCTGATGCTGATTGGGAAGGAGATGATGACTAATCTAAATCAACTTCAGGATGTACTTTCTTGCTTAATGATAATGCAATACTATAGAGGAGCAAGAAACAATTATGCATAGCCTTATTTACCATAGAGGTTAAGTATGTAGCTTGTTCCGTAGTAACACAAGATGTTTTTTGGTTAAAAAAATTTCTGTATCATTTGAAAATTATCAAATCAGCATCAGACCTAGTGACATTTTACTGTGATAACACTCCTGCGTGGTCAAAACTCCAAAATACTATGGAAAGACCAAACACATTAAGAAGAGATATCACTACATTAGAGAAGCAATTATTGAACAAGATATGATCCTAAAACACATTTCTATAAATTCTATTATTGTAGATGCTTTCGTAAAACCAATAACAAAGAATGCATTTGTTAGACATGTGAGATCACTTCACCTATGTAGAATGTAATTAATAATATAATTAGTTTTAAGGATCATATGAAAGCTTACAGTGATTGAGTGATGAATAAATGTCATTAAAATATCATTTTATTCATTATTTGTTTCATGAATATATTGTAAGTATTGTATAATACAATTTGTTATAGTATGTC